TGTAGAATTGCCATTCGACACTGCTGGAAGCTCTTGCTGACGGCGCTGTTTTTCACAGAGGTAGCAATACCATACACGTCTCCCATTTTTTTGGCCTGTAGATCTTCACCGTATATCCAGATCACCGACGTTCGCTTCTTTGTTGCTTTAGGGCCCTTCGCTAGCACCGCACAGCATACATGGGCAGCTTAACGCGTTTGCGTAAAACGTTTTAGTTTAGAACGTCTTTAAACGGTTTAACGGCTTAAACTGTTCAAGCGTTTTAGGGTTTTCTTAAACGCTTGAACAATTTAAAAACGGTATAAGGGCCTTGGCGCCAAGCACTCCAGTTTCGCATCTCAAAAATCTCTGCAAACGCTCCCCACTAACCTAAAATCTTAATTAATTCATTGTCTATTGCGTCTGTTATCGTTATGTCATCTGATAGCTTGTCAGCAAGTGCGATGTCAACGCCACCGTTGCGAAGACCCGTAACGCCGCCACACTTTGGCGGTGTTATACGAACCGAAACTGTCCGTAATACCGGCAATGCAAAGCGCCAGCGTTTGAAGAAGCAGTATGTCTGTAAACACTGTCGTTCTTGGTCGAGTAGTCACCGAGTGAACACCATCAACCATGTCCTAGCATATCATACAACGTCGGAGTCTTCTCAGCTCTCGCAAACTTCTTCGTCGTCGCAACCAGCTATCACTTCAGTGTTTAGGACTGTCTCTGATCAGACAATTATCCGCAACGCCTTCAATGAACAAGGATATCGCGATGCGCTCGTCGGTCTTCTGACTCGACGTCGAATAGCCTTTTCATCAATCGAATGGGCCGAAATGAGGGATCTAGCGCTTGCTTGCAATCCATTCATTGAAGACCAGTTTATCACAAGTCGACGTAAAGCTGTACGTCTTATCGCCTCGAATTATCAGCTCTACAAAGGTCATGTAATCAAGGGCAGCTTATTGACAGCTGTAAGTCCTATCCATATATCAACAGATCTCTGGACATCACCGTTCCGTTCATCTCTCCTTGCTGTATGCGCACAGTGGGTCGATCACAAATATAAGCTTCAGAAGGCTCTTTTAGGACTACCAGAATGTCGTTACAGCCACTCTGGACAACAGCAAGCACACTTACTTCTCCAAACTCTCGAGGACTATGGGATACAGTCTAGAGTTGGCTGGCATACGGGTGATAATGCGACGTCCAACGATACCTGTTTGGTGACGGATGTCACGGGCGAAGAGCTTCTCGCTGAGTTTTCAAGCGTTCTTACTTCTCGACAGAGAAATCTCAAAGCCCAAGCCCAAGCTGAAGCCCAAGCTGAAGCTGTTTCACAAACCTCGCAGAGGCAAAGGTCGTCTTGCCGAAGACGCAGCATTGATAGCCAGGGGTCTGTTGATGACGACTTCTGTGGTATTGAGAACATCCCTACACTTCGCAAACTGCATCAGCTTTGTGTCTGGCTGCGCAGTTCGAGTATACATGCAGCAGAGTGGGACGGCAAAGTAGGCCTCCGCTTAGGCATTGGTAATCAGACCAGATGGTCTTCATGGTACTCAGTCATTGATCGGGCTATCAAGAAGATGGCTGCAATCAAGGTCTTCATGCACGATAACGAGAAACATCTCTACGAGTTCCGTCTTACTTCTGACGACTGGGACATACTGCAGAAAGCACATACATTCCTACAACCATTTGCATCAGCAACGCTGTACGCAGAGGGAGATAAATCGTCTATCTCTCAGTCTCTTTTGATCATGGACTCTCTTTTAGTCCACTATGAGCAGCAAAAGGTAAGCGTTAACGTGCTATCCTTACTTTGAGTCTTCAGTTAACGCCTTCGTAGGTACATTACTCTGAACCTGGACACGAGGACCTTCGCATGGTTCGATCGATCGAGATGGGCTGGTTCGTACTTGAGAAGTACTACAACATGACCGATCAGGTTCCGGTTTACGCTTCCGCTATTCTTCTAAATCCATCAAGTAGAGCAGCATATCTCAAGAAGAACTGGCCAGCTGAATGGTATGAACCGGCTATCAACGCTGCTCAGAATTTTTGGTTGAATGAGTTCAAGGACGCTTTGCCTTTAGCTAGCCCCACAGCTTCTAAACAAATGGCTCCTCCTTCGAAGCAACGTGGTGCCGTTCTCGACCAGATTCTACAGCAGATGTCAGTTACAGCGGCAGATAAATCAAACGGCGATGATCTTAAGGTTTTCGCAGAGGGTCCAGTGATACAAACTGACTGTAGCCCTCTTGAATGGTGGTGCCGATCGGAGCAACGGCAGCGCTACCCCAGGCTGAGCCATATGGCCATCTCCATTCTTTCTATCGCTGCAGAGTCGTCAGAGCCAGAGAGAACATTCTCGGGTGCAAGAAGAACCTGTTCGTGGGATCGGTCGAGGCTCACTTGCGCCAACATTGAGAAGATCGAGTGCATTGGCAGCTGGCTTAGGGAAGGTCACATAACACCGTGTTCTCTCAACGGAATGGGTCTACCAGTGGAACCAGAGCAAGATGAAGAAACAGAGATGATAGAAGATGAGGTAGAGGAGCTTCTAGAATGGACATAGCCAGGTCTTAGCATCATTGATCTTATATCGTTTTTATATCGTTTATATTGTTCAACGCTTGAACGTTTTAAGGAATTTTGCTTAAACGCTTGAACGTTTTAAGATTTCTAAAAACGTTTTAAAAACGATTTGCCCATGTATGCCGCACAGCGGATATACTGCTCCCCCTGGAGCGTAAACTCATCTGGCTGGATCAGAGCTTCTGGGTTGCGACGGGGGTTAATAGATTCAGGGGCAAGAATAATATTATCAGACTCGGAAGTCTTAGAGGAAGAGCGAGCGAAGAACTGAGTAATTGTTGATGCGGCCATTTTAGGATGTCTGCCGCCGCTAAGTGGGTTCATACCATTTTTAACATATTAGCAGTCGTAGGTCCCGCTGGCCTACCAGATTCATTATTGAATGCTATTAGGAAGTCATTGGACTAGATGAACTCCTTCTGAGAACGCGCTTCTGGGGTAAAGCGTACCCGAAGCAAGAACGCCGAGAATGTGACTCACTCTTCCTTATTAGGTTAAGTTGCTTCCTAATTAGGCATGGTCCATTGGCGCTCCAGGAGCCTCCAGACCTCTCGATCCAGTCCAGTCCAAATTTCTCAAACTCCGGATCCAGTCCAGCCAAATCCAGTCCATCCAAATCCAGTCCAGTGCTAGTCCAGTCCAATTAGATCACTGCTTCGGCTGCCGCAACCGCTCTTCGTATCACAAGCATTTGCGATAGCTTGACGAATTTAGACAAGACTGGCGAGTAGGCAGCAGCATCGTGGAATGCTCCAGCATTCTTCTCGTCAATACCAAGGACGGCGAGGAAGACCACTACTGGGCTTCCAAACACACTTCCGCGAAGTGGATGATCGAGCAAGGATATACAGAGTAGCAGCGCCGCTCTGTCTAACGCTCTCGTGTCCTTGCTCTGTCTCTGACAAAGCTTCCTTGCATGTTTGGCTGCCTCATGAATACAGGTTAGCTGTACAGCAGTGTATTGGTGAGGTAAGCGAGCCATTCCACCGTGGTCTTCGTCTTGACTGGTTCGGCACACGAAGCACAGAAGACGCTTCTAAGTGTATTTATAGGCTCGATAGGACTCCTTCTGGAGATTTATTATGAGTGCCTTCTCGCTCGCTCGGCTTGTGTCGTCGCTGACAAAGCTGTTGATTCGAAACTGATCAAAGAAGCCAACCCTATCATCACAAACATCTGCATGTGCCTGATCGACCAGGCGGTCAACGCTCTCAGCAAGAACGCACAGATCGGGCTCTAAGGCGGGGGCGGGCATATGACTAAGACGGGCAGCTTTCAGGAGTGGGACGCCTTTGAACAGCTGCCGCCATCGCGTAGCATCCAGCCAAGTGTCAACTTCTGTCGCGACGGTCACACCCGGGCAACTGTCTAATCCAGCTTCTAGCGCTGTCCGACTGCTAGCTAACTCTGCATCGATCAACTCGTGCAGCACGGCCTCTCTAGAGGGAGCTGCCCTTCGTACGTTCTCTCGTAGGACTGGATGACTGACCACATCATTTCCGCTTGGACCAGGAGTAACCTCGAAATACGATGACTGCGCGCTAGTTGCAAAGAAGCGTTGGCAATAGACATGCGTAAAGATAGGGCTGCTATTTTCGTACAGATGTTGTAAAGGCACGTGACGGCCGCCTCTTGTGGTTCGTACTGTACTGTGATTCTGAAAATGTCTTGACATAGTGTTCTCCGCACAAGGCGAAGCTGTCGCTATCTTTGGACACTGAGAGCATTTTAAGCCCTGATGTAGTGATAATCTAGGTATTGGAGATGATGTTGGCGCTGGGTACGGAATCAGGCTCTGTGTTGGGTCCACAGCACCTGGGAATGCTTTCCGAAGCAGCCGAGCGACGCACACTGCTCCTCCTGTACCATCGCACGGACGTACGTCTGGGTGCAACTTATGCTGCGCGCGAAGGTGCGTAGTGAGCGCACTGACTGATAGCTTGTGCTACCACAGTACGCGTGCTAGGCGCGACAGATACGCGTTGGTGCGATGTTCCGGGTTCACTTCGGCACATGGCCACAAGCAACTGTGATTGGCTACTCGAACAAATCGACTCAAGCCCATTCAAGCATAGGATAGAGATTTATATTGTGATTAACATGGGTTTATCTGAACTGTGCGCGCGCGAAACTCCAAGTGCTCGAACAACTGTGCAAGACCCCATGTGGCTGTTTCCAGTATAGTCCCGGAAGATTGCTACATGACGTCACATAAGACGGGTGTCATAGCGTGCCCATACGCGTCGTTCCAAGTACCAGGCGCGTAGACAAGCCGATGACGTAGCCTACTTCGCAACGCGAACAAATCGCAAACCGTGTTTTTGCAACATTAACTCTTTCCTCCCTCTTTAATATACTCGAGGCCTCTTGATATCCAATCAAGCAGAGGTCGATCGAGCAGTAGAACCTCCGCAATGCACGATCCGCAAGACCTTGACTTTGTCGGGTCGATCCGAGCCTTGATCGCTCTCGGGAGAATACCGCTCGCGTGCGAAGTGCCCCTCTCCACCCTCCTCGGCTGTGTGCTCGCCTCGCAGATCTTCTCCTCCTCGACATCTTCGAGCAACAGCATCTTCAGCGGCTTGAACGGATGGGCGACTCTACAGTGCATATTGGTAACGTGGGGGACCAACATCGCTATCAACTACGGGAACGAGTGGTCCGACTATGCCCTCGATACGCCAGGTCAACAGGAGAGTATCAGGCGGGACGTCAACTTGCGCGAGGCGCTCGCTAAGAAGGCCAAAGGAGAGGCGGGAGGAGAGACGGGAGGGGAGGATCTCGAGGAAGCTGCGAAACAGGCAAATTCGAAGCTTTATGGAAATACCACGAGGATCATTCATGATGGGACGTTCCCACCGTGGACGGCGCTCGCTTGCTGTGCGGTCTGGCAGGCTGCGCTCGTAGCTCTCATCATCTTCTCGCGTGCAGCGGACCCCGCCCTCTCTGGCGCATCGTTGGGAAATGGAGCAAGAACACCCTTCCGCGGTTTGGCGCTCCACCTCGGCATCATATGCACGATCCTCTCGCACTCGTACGTCGGGCCTCCGCTGCGCCTGCACTACAACGGCTTCGGCGAACTCGTCTCTGCGCTGTTCCTCTCGCCCGTCGCTGTCCTTTTCGGCCTTGTCGGCCACTACACAGCCTCAACAGGCCGCCCAGTCGCGTGGTCCGACCTCTTCACGTCGAACTTGCCCACTCCCTCAGGCTTCACGCTGGACAAGTCGCTCTGGCTCCTCTTTGGCGCGTTGTACTTCTACGAACAAGCGAGGATCTTCGTCATGCACATACACGACATTGGCACCGACATCGCCGGTGGGAAACGGACGTTCGTCTCGCGCATAGGGCACCGGCGGGCCAAGGACCTCTATGCGGTGTTCAACGTGCTGTCTGTCACGTTATTTGGGCTGCTAGCGCGCACGCTTTCAGGCGAGAGCTACGGCGATCGCAAAAGTTTGATAGGGCGGGCAGGCGGGAAGATGCTCCGGCTCCGAGCGCGTTCGAGTGCCGGACAAGTATGGATAGGCGGCCTGGTCGTGCTGCTGAGCTGCGCTCTGCCTGTGATTTTCGCGACGTATCGCGTGCTCGTAGCAGAGATCCCACAGGCCACTGCTCCTTCGGCGGACGTGCCGGACGCTCTGCCCGATGCGAGCCTCAAGCACGGCTTGACGGATACTGCCGAGCCGGCCCTGCGAAGCTTCCATGGCCGCCCAGTCCCGGACGGTGGGAAGGTCTATGAGCCAAGTCGGAAAGCAGGAGGAATATCCATGGGAGACTGTATCAAGTTGGTCTCGCTGCAGACGATGGCGACGCCGGCGGTATTGACCATAACGGCGTTGTTGGCGGCGTACGTCGGGCAGCGGGCGGAGAAGATGGACGCGTATCTGCACTAGCACAAGTTGCTGGATGCGGAGCGAGGTGAACAATGCTCGCAGAACAAAGGCCATCAAATCATCTCGTGCCGAATCGGTCACGAGATAGGGGCATCCCGACCATTCGAAACGGTGGCTATCGATCTTATTAGGCTTGAAGCAACTGCTTACAACGGCCATCAATATGTCTTTCATGGTATCGACCTCTACACGAAGCTTCACTTCGTATTTACTATTGCTAAACGCGACAAAGCGACGCTACTTGAGATACTCAGACGACTAGATCGAAGCATCAAACGCGAGTTCAACACCACAGTCACGTTCCTTATCGCAGATGATGAAAGAGGGTATGGCATCACCGACGACTCAGCCCGAGGCTACTGCTAACAAGAAGGCATCAAATTTCAGATTCGAGCACCACACGTCAAGGAGCAGAATGGCTCTGCTGAACGCTCAGGCAAGAACCTCATTGACCGCCGTCGTTCAATGCGAGTGGCATTAAACCTGCCTCTAGCCCTCAGCCCTGAGATATACATGTGTGCTGCATATATCCTCAACAGAACACCCACCAAAACACTGAGCTGGAAGACTCCTTTCGAGATGGCATATGGCAAAAAGCCCTCTCTCGCTCACTTGAAGATCTATGGTTGTCGCGCGTATGCGCTGCGCCAACAAATACCAAGAGGAGACAAGCTCAGCCTACGTTCGCTAGTTGGATATCTAGTTGGATATGATGCATTAAACGTCTACTGGATATGGTTGCCCGGAGCTAGGAGCAGAGCCCACCAAGGAAAGGTCGTTCGAGTGCGCGATGTAACATTTAAGGAAACTATGTTCTATTAATCAGACAAGGATGAAGCAGAACTAATCTTGCAAGGCTCAGACCTAGAAGAGTTCATCCAAACATATCGCATGCCAACTCTCCACGACCCTAAAGACCAGACATGCTAACAAGCAAGTTTTTTGATTGACTTGATTGATTCTTGATCAAAAGCTCAATCAAGTCAAGATCAATTCGCCTATAGCGTTTTTCTAATTAAGAACAAATGGAAGCCCTCTTTTTGATTGAATTGATTGATTAGATTGATCAGGTACTAATACTAGGGCGATTTCTAAGGTAGTTAATAAGGTTGCTAGGCAGTAGATAATATTAATAGGGTGACATATTAGTGGTGTTAAGTTTCGATTAGTAAGCAACCTTCTGATCTAACTAGCTTACTCTGCGACGTAGTATCAACATTTAACATCAGCCTATATCTTATATTAGCGCCTATTGTTGTTATCTCTAAGGCTCCTTACGCGCTATAACTATCTGTTATGCCTCTGAAGGCCTTCAAACGCGCTGCTGATCGCGCTGCTGCGTCAAATAAACGCGTCAAAGTCAACGACAACTCTCAATCGCAGTCTGAGCTGCCTGTACGAACCTCACCACGCAAAGCCCTTGAGGTTGCAGCTAGTTAAGCTACAGAGAAGGCTCCGTTCGAATCGCAGCTGCGCGACCTGCTGCCCGACAACGCGATCGATCCGCCAACCGAGGGCTCACGAGCTGCTACAGAGGCTTCAACCGAGGCGTCTAATAGCTACGATGGAGGCGAGCTTAATAGTTGGTTTAAGGATAAATACGATGGCCTTGATTGGGCTTATATATCGCGCTTTATAAAGCCGCTGAGGACGCTTAAGGGCAGGAAAAGCTAGGTCTTTGAGCACGGTTATCGCGTCGCCTTAATAGCTGATCCGCAGAGGACTTTCTGGATCTGCAGGCATTGCTATAAACATCAGAGATTAGAGGGGAAGCAAGCGTTAGAGGTGACGCTATCAACAACTGCTGCGATAACTTATATAGCACAGAACAGAGTTAGCTACCGCCTTAACTGTTAGGGCCAGCTTGCTAAGGCTGCGCTACCTCGAGGTTAGACGTCCCTGCGATTATTAAGCGATAGCGGTGTTGTTGTATCGCAGGAGGTCGCTAATGAGATTAGAAACTTTGATGTATAAGGCTTTCGATACGTTGCTGTTAGCTGGTTAGTTGATAACAACTACGCTCTCCGTGAGTTTGAGACTCCAGCTTTCCGTAAGATAATAGCATACGCTAATCTAGAGGCAGCAGAAGCTTTATAGGTAAGTCGTACTAGCGTCGCGAGCTTTGTTATAAGGCTTTATCGCTACCTTGAGCTGCAGGTTGTTAACGACTTGTCGCAATCTATAAGTTAAATCTATATTAGCTTTAACGGGTAGACGACAAGGGGTGGCAAACGAGGGTTCTTTAGTATTGTTGCTTATTACGCTAACGCCTGTGGTAACGTTAGGGACCTGCCTATTGCCTTACCGCAGCTTATAGGCGCTTATAGTAGTAATAGGATTGCTAATATAGTTGCAAAGACGCTGCAGCAGTTTAGTATTAATCGTTCTAAGCTAGGCTACTTCGTCCTTAATAACGCATCCTCGAACAATTGAGCTGTCGCCAAGCTTAGCGAGTTATACGACTTCGAAGCTCCTTTTGCCGCCTCCGCTGCGCGCCTTACACGCTTAATCTTATAGG